ATTGGTATATGTGGTATTACACCTCACTTTGAAAGCCTGAAGGTATGCAACGTCTTCATTTCACTTCCTCACTACCTATCACAGTTTCAGAATCCCTGAAATGCCAGGATAGCACCGCCCCCCCCCCCCAATTACCCCTTTTTGGAAAGTAGACACCCCAATGAATTTAAAAAGAGCCATGGTGAGTATTTTGCAGATCTCATTTTTTCCTCACAAGGTTTTGAAAACAAAAAAAAGAAAAGACAAAAATATGTTTTGGTTCTTCATTTTCCAAAAACTTGTGGCAACAAACGAGATCTGAAAAATACTCTCCATGCTTCTTGTCAAGTTCCTTGGGGTGCCTACTTTCCTAAAAGGGGTCATTTGGGAAGGATAGCGGGGGGGGGGGGGGGGGGGGGTCATATACTATCCTGGCATTTCAGGGCCTCCGAATCTGTGATAGGTAGTCAGGAAGTGTAATGAGGAAGTAAAGCCCTTTCGAAAGTCTACAGGGGCTTGTTGGATTTTGGGGTCCTTTAGTTGGCTAGACTGCCAAAAAAGTCTCTCACATGTGGTATCCCCATACTCAGGAGAAGTGGCACAATGTATTTTGAGGAGTAATTCCACATATACCCATAGCATGTGTGAGCAATATATCAATTAATTGACAACTGTGTGTAAAAGAAACATTTTTTTTGTCATTTTCCAAAAACTTGTGGTAAAAAAATAAATGTTTCTATTGACTCAATCTGCCTATCAGCAAATAGTTTGGGATGCCAACTTTCCAAAAAGGGGTCATTTTTTGGGGGGACAAAAATCTGTGTTTTTTTGCTAGGAAATTACTTTGAATCCCCAAACATATTTTTTTTTAAGCAGATACCCTAGTGAATAAAATGGTGGGTGCTGCAATTAGCGATTTTTCAAACGCAAATTTTTTTTAAAAATACATTTATTTTTACTTTTAATGCACAAAAACACAATATGCAGGCCAATTGTTTGGTAGAATATAAATGATGATGGTATGTCAAGTAAACAGATACCAAACATGACATGCTTTCACACTGCACAGCCCCGTGCAATGGCGACAAACTGCATACATTTTTAATATCATAAGGTGCACTTTAAAAGCCTTTACAGGTTAACATTTTAGATTTACACAGGAGGTCTAGACTAGAATTACTACTCTCGATCTGATGCTTGCGGCGATACCTCACATGCATGGTGCAACCGCTGTTTACTTACCAGAACAGGGTCAACGCTTGAGCACGCAGTTGCAGGGGTGGGGGGGCGAGAGTGCTTTTTTTTTATTTTTTGTTATTTTTTTATTATATTTACACTGTCCCTTTCATTTGTTTATCACTTTTATTGCTATCAGAGGGAATGTAAATATCCCCTGTGGCTACAATAGGCATTGACAGGAATTCTATTATTTGCGAAATCTGGGGTCTATTAGACTGTAAATATCTCCTCTGCCCTTACATCATCTGATCTCACCAAGATTGGTGTGATCAGATGCTTTCCCAATTTAAAAATGGCGCTGTTTATATCCTGCAAAACTGAAGTGATGAAATGCTTCTCCTGCTGCTTGTAAAAGCAATCCTGCAGCTAATTAGCCACTAGGTTTGCTTTTACATGAAAGCTGATCGCCGGCTTCTGGAATTTTAGGAAGGATCCACTATGTCCAGTTGCTATGTCCAGTTGCTTTGTAAAGCACAGAAGCATTATATAGAGCCAATTGAAATAAATAAATAGACACTATTTTTTTTGTACCAGCGTCTGGCTTTGTGGGAAATTAAGTACGGCTTCATTATCTGGTTGTTGAAGTCCACCCCTCCCATGTTCAGGTTATAGCCGTGGACACAGAGGTGCTTCTCAACAACACCAGCTGCCATGGAAATTTGGATGGTCGTATCTGCATGAATGGAAGACAGGACAAAAACATCCTGTTTGTCCTTCCACTTCACTGCGAGCAATTCATCATTTATCAAACAAGCTTTTTCCCCCTTTCTAAGACGGGTATTTACAAGATGTTGGGGGAAGCGCCAGCGATTAGGTCGCACAGTGCCACATGCGCCAATTCCAAGATTGTACAAATGTCTAAATAGTGGCACACTTGAATAAAAATTGTCCACGCATAAGTGGTACCCCATATGGGATAAAAGATGACACCAAGTCCCAAGCTTTCACTGGCCTGAATCTGTTGATTGATCTCTTGGGCACCAAGTCAAGGCACCGCCGGGTCCGCAAAGCAAATCACGTATATATATGTAATTTTGAGCAGAGAGTCTGCTCTGTAGCAGTATTACTGCTATATGGCAGACTATAATAGGTTAATTTAACCACTTTAATACCAGACACTTCTTCATTCCTGGCCAGGCCAATTTTTAGATTTCTGCGCTGCCACACTTTCAATGACAATAAAAAAAAAAACAAATTTTTCTTAGTTTCTGTTATGAAGTTTTGCAAATAAAGATTCTTGGTTCATATATTTAAGCCAAAATGTTTTCTGCTGCATTTCATTGGTAAAAATAACCCAAATCAGTGTATATTATTTAGTATGTATGAAAGTTATAGTCTACAAATTATGGTATATATATTTTAAAATTGATGAGTTCTGATGTATTGACTGCCTATCTATTTTCTAGAGGCCCCAAAAATGCCAGGACAGTATAAATACCCCCAAATAACCCCTTTTTGGAAAGTAGACATCCCAAGATATTTAGTAAGAGGCATGGTGAGTTTTTTAAAGTTGTAATTTATTGGCACACATTTTTTGGGGGAAAAAATGAAATAATTTTTTTTTATTCACAATTTTTTTAGGTACTGCACCTGAGCAGTATAGTGTCACCATATGGTTAGTGTGGCAGTAACCAGGGACACTGACTGGTGAAAATATGTTTTGTTTTTTTTTTACAATTTTTTTAACTTTTTTTTTTACATATTGTCAGCAGAGCAGTACAGTGTCACCATAGTGAGCAGTACTGCTCACCAGAGCAGTACAGTATCACTATGGTGACACTGTACTGCTCTGGTGAGGTGATCAGGATTTTCTTTATACTGTGATTGCTTATTACAGTGATGATTATTGTATAAGCAATCATTTTTACATGATTGGTGTCCATTCATGGGCCATGGCGTACTATTGCGATAGCTGTGATTGGCTACAGCTATCACATGATACAGGTCTACTGTGACTGCCCCTGTATCATGTGATCACTGTGACCAATCACAGAGATCACAATAATACAAAGTGGTTATGAATAACAAGCCATTTTCCGCTTACAACTGACATGTGATTGCTGTGATTGGTAACACCAATGACATGGTACCAATGATCTGTATTCTGCTGTTTCCAGTGGACAGCAAGTCACAGATGGTGCCACTGCACAAGTGGGAGGATATCTTATGACATTCACCGGGGTTAACAGATAACAGAGCTATTGTAATAATACGGCCAGGCAGGAAGTGGTTAATGTTTATAAAAATTACCTTTCCTTTTAAATCTGCAGCCTACATCTGTAATTTTCTGCAAAAGCCAATGCAATTTGACAACCTGGAGATGTTCTGTACACTGTTGGTGTACACAAGCCATCCAGAAATGTAATTTTTTACTTGTGTGATTGACTCACTGATTCTCCCAGAAGTTTACAATAAGATACAAGTCAAATTTTAGATGTCCTCTGCAATATAAATTTGATTTCTGTGACATACTCCCAAGGATTAAATACTTCTAAAGGGTTGCAAACCTGCAGCTTTTTCCGTCAAAACATGAGAAGCGCACAAGCTGATTATAATGAACCAGATACTCCCATTCAGATTCAGTATCCAAAGGACATAGAGGAACAGACAGCTATTATTTCAGAGCATAAACAGTTAGCAATCTGCAATCAAGTTAGTTAAAATCCTTGAAATGTGCATTGATCTCTCAGAGGGGATAGTTTTTTTTTTCTCAACAAAAGTTGATTTTTTAAAAATTAAAACAACAAACATGTTACAGTGCCTTGAAAAAGTATTCATACCCCTTGAAAATTTTTACATTTTGTCTTGTTACAACCAAAAAACGTAAATGTATTTTACTGATATTATTATTATTATTATTATACAGTATTTATAAAGCGCCAATGGTTCGCTCAGCGCTGTACATTACAAAGGGGGACAGAACATGTGACAGAACAATACCAATACAATGCAAAACATGAGGGGATCGAGGAGGGAGGGGATGGTGGCACAGGAGGAGAAAGCTATGGGGGATGGAGTGGTAGGAAGAGTGGAGGAGGTCGGCAAGTTAGCAGGGGGTGGGGTAGGCTTCCCTGAAGAGATGGGTTTTCAGGGTGTGCCTAAAGGAGAGGAGAGTAGGTGATAATCTGATGGGTTGGGGAGGGAGTTCCAGAGGATGGGTGACACCCTGGAGAAGTAATGGAGGCGGGCATGGGAGGAGGAGACCAGGGAACTAGAGAGAAGGAGGTCTTGTGAGGAGCGGAGTGTGCGTGCTGGGCGGTGGTACTTGGATATTAGGTCAGTGATGTAGTAGGGGCAGTATGGTGGACAGCTTTGTACGTCAGTGTTAAGATTTTGAATTTGATCCGTTGCGCAATCATGGATGCCGAGCGGCCGCACATTTGCGTTCATGTAAGAAAAAACATATGTGCTGAGAGCGCGCTCCCAGCACACATGTCCCGGTACTCACGGAAAGGTCCCGGTCTGCTCTTTCGATTGGGACCTTTCCCGATCATGTGACTGCTGTGATGACGTGTCACGGCGGGTCACATGATTCCATCTCAGAAAGTTGGAAGGTATGCATTTGGGTTGCCATGCCACGCTAGCCTAACTACTAACTGCCGATACGAACGGAGCTGTCTAGCTTGATAAGGTGCAGAATATTAATTTAATTGGCTTCTCTTTACCTTTATGTTGTAAATACCTTACCAAGATAAACAGTCTGTTTACAAGACCTCAGTGAGAGATGCTAAAGAGCAGAGTGTTTTGCTCCTTAGGGAATGGGTCATGACAGAGTAACTATCAGGGGCGGACTGACCATTTGAAAACTCGGGCCCTGTCCGAGGGCCTGGGGTCAGTAGGGGCCCCCATGAGATGCCCCTGGTACCTTTTTCATAGGCTTTTTTGAGTTTGGGCAAGGACACAGGGGCCCCATGATCCCCTATTGCCCGGGGGCCCCATGAGTTGCCAGTCCACCCCTGGTAACTATATATGTGGGGGAACGTGGCTGGGGTTAGAACCATCTGCCAAGCATTTAGAACATGACCACGGCCCAAAAGTCAGTAGGAGACTATTGTGCGCGTGATTAATTAATTTTTCAGCTGTAAATACACTTACAATAAGTAAGTACACTTAAAATAAGAAATTTTATGTCTTCATGCGTCTTTTATGGATAACGCATACTGTTAACTGCCACTCAACCTTGCATGAGTCACCTTTATGGTATGATTTGTATTGGTGACATAGTTATTTCAAAGTAAGACTTTCTTTATTGCCAGTGTTCTGAACTCTAACAAAGACTTCTGCCAAATTTGATAGCTGTCATAGGCTGTAAGTGGATGTCCATCTCTATGGACAGAAGTTTTTGCATAATACATCAGGTATCAAGGTGCCCCCCCCCCCACCCAAATCTGTAAAAACAAAATGTAAATTTCTATAATTGTAGAGATTATTACGGAGATGAACAAAGGTCTAAAGACTTATATCAATAAATATCAGCGCAAACCCACATAATAAATTGTATCACCCAACCCATTAAATTGGTAATTAATAAATATTACAAACTTAAAAAACTGTGACACAAAAACACTTTTGTGTTATTGAAATAGTAATGAAAAAATAAATAAATGATTTTAGAATTAATAAGTCCAGTGACAAAAAACCCCAAAATAACAGTCCCGTGACAAAATTAATTATATTGTAATTTCATTGGATTCTTCCGTGCCTTTGATACCTTCACCATCCACCAGTGCAAAACCAACATTAACCGCACTCACCAGATAATGGTGAGTCAAACGCCTTTCAGGGATATTAAGGGCTCCTGGACCCCCTTTACTTTGTATAAGACCTCCAAATAATGCCTCCTCTCGGATATGGATACCTCTTCTGGTTATTCCTCTCACCGAATCCCCCAGGGAAAATCAGGAAGAAGAAAAAACCATAGTGTGATACCGTAGTGATTTCCAATCAAAAGAATTTCTCCAGACCACTCACATTTTAGCAGGATATAACCCGCATTTTATTGGAACAAAACAATCTTTCTTTAAAAACGATCTATTTTTCATATACAGCGACTTTTGTATAGAGACCCCACAGCCTGGTATACAGCAGGATGACAGACCTCAGATGCAGACTCATCCACTATGCAAAGATGGCCCCTTGGAACGCACCGATCGGCGTGCGTTCCACTCACCGGAAATGACGTCAGACGCCGGAACAGGCAACTGGAAGTGCGTCAACGCGTTTCGCCCCACCCACAGGGCGTTATCAAGGATCCTTTGATTTCTATTGGCCAGTGAGGTATCCCGTTATAGTGATGGGCCAATAGAAATGTACAGGGAGCAGAAAGAAACAAACCTTGAGATACCCAGAAAAATTAGAGCTTGTCAAGTTCAGAAATTCATAGCAATTGGGCAGATGGTGGGGACTAGCAGCTGATGTAGGTATGTGTACCTCTAGGTGCCTGCACATTATACCCCTCTGACTCTTATTTTTTTTTTAGAAAGGAAATCACTTTTTGGACATTTTAAAAACAGTTTCAAGCTAAACTTGGGGCTTTAACCTCTTCCAGTCCGCCAATAGTCTATAGACGGAATACAGGAAGCTTTGACGATGGGGCTAATGTACCTGCATGTCTAGCAGCATCACTGGCTCATGCACGGCTCACAGAGCATGCCACTGGGAGCCCAGCAATTGGTATATAGCCCAGACACAGAGGATCACAGTACCACTGTGTCCAGGCGATCACATGGTGTTTTACCATGTGATTGCTGTATCCAATCAAAGCAATCACATAGCAAGCATAGCAAAGTGAAACTATAGATCACTTCCCTCTGCTCTCACTGTGAGAGCAGAGATAAGCAATCCAACAGCCTGTGAGTGTACAATAGCCTGTCAGGCCACTCGTACACTCACAGACTGCAGTGCAAGCCACGTCAGTGTCCCTGACCACTGCACAAACTGATCACTGTAGGGACAATAAACAATGCAGCCACCCTCTGTCACCTGTCCCAGTGTACACAAAAACACCACCATACTTGGGTCATGACAGAGTTCTGTCATGACCCAATGTTCTGATCACCGCCACATCAGCGCCCTGATCACCACCATACCCCATACACCATACCAGCACTCGAATCACCACCATACCCCATACAAGCAGCCTGATCACCCCTTAAGCCATACCAGCATCCTGATCATTGCCATGCCCCATACCAGCATCTTTATTACCCCATATGCCATACCAGCATCCTGATCATCGCAATACCCTATACCAGAATCCTGATCACCACCATACCCCATACCACCATCCTGATCAGTGAATTACCAGTGTCCCAATCACCACCATACCTCATGCTAACGTCCTAATCACCGCCCTACCCCATTCCATCATCCTGATCTCTGCCATACGTCATACCAGCATCTGGCATTTTAGAGTCTCAACTAATCAATTTTCATATATATACAGTATATCCCATAGTTTGTAGACTCTCTAGCTTTTACACAGACTAAATATTAAACACTGTTTTGGGTTATTTTTACCACAAAAATGTAGCAGAATACTCTAGATTTATGATTTTTTAGTCTTTTTTCAGTGATATAGCAATTCTTCTATAGTCCAATTCTTTTTCATCATATCAATTCCTCAGTATCTGACCAATGCTGGTGTTGGCAGGTCCATCTGGGCACATTAGTGCATATATTGTGGACTTCTCTCTCCATTAAAGCCTTTTGGGCTCAAATTCTCCAAAGCTACTCAAAGTTTACGGGTGCCATTATTCCCAATTCCTCACAGGCTGAACTTTTGTTTACTTTTTATGATATCTAGATCTATCAAAAAAGTTAAGAGAGACATTTATAGACATTTTCTTACAGCAGCCCAGCTGTTATCCCATCATTGAAGGTTAAAGATCCCACTCTTCTGGAATGGGTCACTGAAATAGATTACATTACTTGTATGGAGTCACTTCTGGCTCAGGAGATTTTTTTTCCTTTTGACCATGCCCCCTTGTTTTTTTTTCCTGTGTTTTCATTTCTTCCTCCTTTTTTCTATTTCCTGTTTTGTTTGGGAATCTCCATTTATCTGTGATGTGTGTAAGTTTCATGATGAACAGTATGTCTCTACTTTTTGAGAATATTGTTTTGTGGGGGCATTTAGTGTATAACTTTGGGCTGAATCTTTGTGATATATAAAATAATGGGTGGTTTGTGGTCCTAGAGGCTGCAGAGCAGCAACTGTGGGGTCTTGCTGGACTCCTAGAGGAGTTCCCTAAAGTCTTGAAAAGATGGGAGCGCCACAACAGCTTGTATAGTCCTGAGCTATTTATTAATGTTTTTTTTTTGTTTTATTTATTTTTTTGTAAAGATAACCCAAGAGTCAAAACGTTACTCTATTTGGAATGACCTTTTTTATTTTTGTATTTATTTTTATATTTTTGCTGGTATTTGTATTACAATATCTTTAACCACTTCCTGCCAGAGGTACACATACAGTAAATGCGGCCTCTCAACAGGAGGGCTTTAATGCTGAGATGCTACATATATGCGGCCCTATGTAAACACTTTTCTGTGCTGACAGCAACCACCCTGCACACTCTCAGCACAGTTACCAGTGGGGACTGGAAAGCTCCTGATGCATACTTGCGATCGGGAGCTTTCTGATCATGTGACTCCTGTGCCCCAAACACAGTTCTTGCAGAGATGCCAGAGGTGGAAAATAAGCACAAAATTTGTTCTCCAAAATTGACCATAGTGGTTTTATGATATTGAGGTCTGGCGACTGCGATTCCCAGGAAAGGTGCAAGACTTTTGCAGGCCATAGACGGGTCAAACATCGGCTGATTTTTCGAACGATAAATGAAAAATTGGTCGTTCGTTCGGCCGACGTTACCACCAACGATTAAAAAAATCGTCTGACTAAATCATAAAGTTCACCCCATAACTTCTGTAAAATAAAATCTGAAAGTGCAAAATACACAAAAAATGGCCAACGAACTAATCCACTAACGGTATGAAAATCGGGCGATTTTTCTTTCGGCCAAAAAATCGGACGATTAACGACCCATCTATGGCCTGCATTTGTCTGCATGCTCATCAAACCATGATTTGACAACACCAGATGTGTGAATCAGAGCATTTTCATCTTGGTAAATGGTGTTGTCTTTGGGAAACAATGTCTGCATCAAGGTGCGCACATGCTTGGCCATAATTTGTGCATAGTTGCTGGCAGTAACTCTACCTTCCAGGGTGATGATGGGACCTGCAGGATACCAAGATTTGGCTGCTTAAACCATGATTGCACCACCACAATGCTTTACTATTGGCACAAGACAGCCTAGTTGTAAGCTTGAGACTGTTATCACGTAAACATGTCCCGTGGTTGGGAATAGTGTGAAACTTGATTCATCAGACCATATTACAGTCTTCCAGTGATCGATAGTCCATGATTTATGGGTGTTGCACCACTCTCTCCTCTTCTGCGCATTAATATCAGTCACTAGTAGTTTGGAAATTGCAGATCACCCATGAATGTTTTACTTATCGAGTTTCCTCCACACAGTTTTTGCGGACACAAGCTTTGGAATACAGAGGCTGAGTTCTACAGTCACTTTTGCAGCAGTTGTTTTCTTATTCCGGGTCCCAATCCAGCGCATTCTCCTTTTGTCTCTATCAGTCAGTTGACCATGTCGACTGCGCTTATGCTTATCAGACAAATTTTTCCCAGAAACTGTATACACTATCACAGGGGCGGACTGATCATTTGGAAACTCGAGTACTGCCCGAGGGCCCAGGGTCAGTAGGGGGCCCCATGAGATGCCCCTGGTACCTTTTTCATAGGCTTTTTTGAGCTTGGGCAAGGACACCGGGGCCCCATGATCCCCTATTGCCCGGGGGCCCCATGAGTTGTCAGTCCGCCCCTGCACTATCATAACTTTCGATGCTGTACCTCACAACACCACAAATTAATTGGCAACTTCAATCACAGA